ATGCCCAAAAATCAATGGGGTTTAAACTTCCACTTTCTCGTAGATCGACACGGATCATAGTGGAGACCCAGATATCTTCATTATTGTTGAGTTGTTGTATCAACCGGACCGAAAGATTTTCACTTTCAAACTTGGGATCAATTGGAAAAACGTTAAAGCTGAGAAAGTAAAGGCGAAGGCCGGTCCTTTTGCTTTCTTGGGAGACATAAAAGTGGACGTTGGGTGGGTCCATTTTAATGGCCCTTGGAGTTTGAGCTTTGTGTCAGGAAGAGCACGTTCATCCCCCGTCGTATATTCATTTATTTTTTATTTTAAATTTACTTTTCAAGCGAAAAAGAGGTATCTTAAAACAGTTTTTATTCACCATTACAAAGATTGAGATGTGATCGAATAAGATAAAATAAAGTCTCGTCGTATTGAGAAAAAATGATAAAAATGATTCATAAACTTTGACCTAACGTATAATATGTCCATAAATTTTAAATTTATTCAATGTGATTTATGAATTTTAATTTATTCAATACGGTATATAGGCTTTTGGTACATATTCAATTTAATCCCTACACTTTATGAAATTTTTTAATATTATCCCTGAACTTGAATTAATGGAATGACAATATTGAACATTTTCATATAAATCAGAGACTAAATAAAATATGTAACAAAAGTTTAGGGACTATATTAAATAAATTAAAAATTCAAGGATTACATTGCATAAATTTAAAGTTCAAGGACTATATTATATATCAGGCCAAAGTTCATGGACCATTTGTATCATTATCTCAACAATCTACCATATACTACTATGGATATAACCAAAGACATAAAAAGAATAGTTAATTCACATTAATTACTCAAAAAAATTTCATTCTACTTGAGTGAGATATTTGACCCCTATCGCTAGGATAAATTGTCCAGGATGCCAGGCCTCTTCAGGCTTATCCCAATTTGAATATGTCACCAAACTCATGATAGAATAATTTTTATCTTATCGAATCTTTTATTCAAGCAAGCAGACGTGTCCTTAGGATCTCAACTGTTAACACGAATTGACATTGTTCGACACGTCCTTCAAAATAAATGTTGTCAAATCCAAAATGATATGAATATAAAATACACAATATTTACGTGTTCAATATGAGTATAAAATTTTGTAATGACTCAACCTAACATAACCTGAATTTAAGTACACGTGAACACGAATTTTCAACTCTCAAATGTTAGGTGGTTATTAGTTACAAACCATACATGTACTTCATCAAACTTCTTCTAAAACTTACAATGCGTGTGATTGCAGTAATGATTATTAACATGATACGCCTCTTATAGGTTAATTGTCTATTAAAATATTTGCTTATAATAATAGTTATTACGGCGTGATCATATATTCTTTTTTGTTTTAATTCTCTTTTTAAGTAGGCAAGACTAGTCTTAGGATTCAATTTGACATCAATCGACATGGGTTTTGACAAGTTTATGAAAACAAATATTGTCAAATCTTAAAATGACAAGATTTCAAAATACATCATATTTCAACAAGAGCACAAAGTTTTACGATGACGCTACAGCATATGGCATAATTTTAAGTTTGACACGAAAATACGAATTGCCAGCATTTCATGGGATGTGCCACTTTAAATTCGGTTTCTGCATGGTTGGAAATCTTTAATAGAGCCAGCTCCAAGGGGTGCTGGAGAGAGTCTCTGTAGACCTCGACTACTTCTTGTATGATATACGAATTGTCGGTCTTCCTCTAAACATATTCTGCTTGAGCCTTATCAAATGGAAAATTATTAAGTGCACCAGGAGCACAGAGGGCCATTTACAATGACGTCCATTCGGATGCGCCGAATACTTCTCATAGGAGATTCGATATGTTCTTCATATGAGAATCCGCTAACATTAAATTCATGAAGTATAATCGCGTGATGATATTTTAGTTTTTAAGAAATGAACATTGTGTGTATAAGATTTCCTATGCAAATAATCGCATATTTTTGTAAACAGGCATCATTGTACAATTGTACTGAAAACTGACATAACGATTTTATTTGGATGGGCTTAGTGGACGCATCACGACCATCATCAGTTGAATACTTTCTCAAGTCAATGTCCAGGATTAATTGGACGCCATATAATTGTCAGACAATCCATTTATACTTTTTCTTGTACGCGTTAGCAGAAGACATGTGAACTAGAGATTGGCCATGGTGATCTCTAGTTTATTTGTCGCAAATTCTTCAGCGTGGATACATGGCATGGCACTGTCTCGACATCGCATGTCATATGCATAAAATATCATCACGAATCAGTTGGGGGTAGTTAATCCCACGGCTCTTCTTCCAAAGAATAGATTCACGATTGTTGTTGGATGCGAATCCATCAACTCTCAGACCTACTTGTATTTGTTGTCCCGTCCATAACGTGATGAATTAGACACACACGGTTTATGGAAAAGGAGTGAGATCCCCTTAAGAATTATTAATAAATTTAAATACTAAATTTATTCATTGTAAAATTGATACATCTTTCCATTTTTTTTCCTTCCCTTTTTTCCTTTTCCCTCTTTTCATCCTCGACTTTCTCTGCGCGTGCGTGTGGTCAAAGTAGGCCGCGACACCAGATTGGAGGTTGCCCCTTGCTTGGGGCGGGGGGGGGGGGGGGTGTTGGGCCGCGGTGGGGTTTGTGGGACGAGGAATGACAGTGGAGTGCGACAATTGTGGTAGTTAAAGGCGCTGCGAAACATCGACCATGTCAGGGCGCCGCAGGATGTCCAAGCACCACTAGTGCGGCCTCATAACGGTGGTCTCTCTCTCTCTCTCTCTCTCTCTCTCTCTCTCTCTCTCTCTCTCTCTCTCTCTCTCTCTCTCTCTCTCTCTCTCCATCTTCTCAATATCAACAAGGTAGTCTTTGAAGGCGAAATGCCTATAAATTTGGAAGCACGACCGTCGAGCCTCCACATCTAGGGGCAACCGCATCGATCAGCTCAATTACGGTGGAGGAGACGCCAAGCTCTGCTAGAAAGGAAGCTAATTGCAAATGCAACCATGGTAGAGAGAGAGAGAGAGAGGTTGGTATTTGGGATTTGATCGCGATTTTATTGGGTGTTATGAGGATAAGAGTAAAGTAAAAACATGTTTACAATCTTGTGAACGAGACAACATATCAAAACATTACATGAAATAGATGATCGAGAACCATTTCGTTCATTTCGTTCCCAAAATGATTCCATGAGATTTGGAAGGCGGTCTCCTCATAGTTTAATCAAGCTTGATGTAATACGATTTAAAAGAGAAATTTGCAAATGAATTGAAGGCAGAGACAGCTACTAAACCTTTAATCATCTATTCATATTTATTGAAATTGCTCCCGTAGTGGCTTTCCCCGTCTATTCATTTACTGTCCCACAATCCCAAATTATCAAACGAATTAATGAAAGCAAGTTGATTAAACTTCGTTTTCTGGCACCCGTGTAGCGCGTGCTTTAAAACTAGTCTTCTCAAATTAAATTAGAAAGGTAACCTAATATTTTTGTCGATAAAATAATTAAATCGAAGCGTGGCGTAATTAATCATCTTATTTTAGTAAGATTTGGACTTTCGAGTGAAAATTGTTTGAATTCAACATGTAATGGCAAAATAACAAGACTCTTGCTAGGTTGAAGATATTTTTTAGAGTTTTTATATAATTGGCCTTGTTGCGATAATAAAATAACAACCATTCCATAAAGTAAATGCAAAAAGACCGGTAAATATTCTCTACCATGCTGGGCCTTGCAATTGTTGTCTCAATCACAACTCAATCAATGGGGGGAAATTACCACGAAAGTTCTACACCTATGGCACTTGTGCCAATTCAGTTTTAAACCTTTGAATTTGGTCAATTTAATCTTAAACCATATGACAATTTCTCAATTCAGTTCTAAACCTTTCAGTTGTGCCAATTTAAGTGGGATCCTCATTTAAACAACATAAGCAATTCACACTTTTACTGCTTTTGCGAGCAAGCAGTCGATTTCCATAGAGATTGCTGGAAAGTTCCAATTCTAAGCTCCGGTAGCAAGTCCGGCACGGATCTTATCAATGGAATTCATTAGTCAAAACACCAATCTCAATTGACAAGGCAAACGGTGGAATTGTTCTTAAGAACTTGTGCCTGTACATGCATAGACGATGACTATAAATTTCAATAGTTCCTAGGAGCATGATGGATAAAAAAATTGGAAGAAGGCGTGATTAACGTGGCTTATCATATAAACCGACTAAAGAGGGGTGAAAGCCACAGAAGTTAACAGCTTGGAACTAATGGCAGAAGTCAATTTCACAGTTGTTTTAAGAGAAAAATTCGGTCAACCTACCTTTGGAAATAATCAACCTCAAAAGGTTACTAGATGAGGTACTGGTACATGCGAGTCAGATACTTCTTTTCGCGAGAGTAAAAGAGAGGAAGGCACTTAGGAGCTGCCGACTCATGGACTAGCAGGCACAAGATCCTCTTGGAAGACAAATCTAATCACCAGTAATGCCCCAAACGCTCTAACCAAAGAGTAAGTGTATAACCCTTAATTACATATATCCCTTCCTGGAAAAAAAACACAAAATGAGCGAGAACCAATCTGGAATCATGCTTAAAAGGTGTAATGTCGTAAGATTTTCCTACTCCAAATTGCCCAAACCAGCTATTGCTGCTTCCAATTATAGCACCGAGATGGTGGGGATCGATTTTGAGAAACTCGGCACACAATTTCCAACAAAATCAGAACAAACAACAGGTACTTGTGACAGTTTTTAAGAGACTCATCGTAAAAAGGCGGCCTTCCAAGGCTAATTCAATGAGATACTTTGTTCATCTCCGGCGCAAACAGCACGGCATCCTCAACATGCCCAAACCCACTAACGGGCGACCATAACATCGCATCATAATTTATAAAAGAGGAGTAAAGTACCTCCGATTTCAAAAGAGCCATCCTCCCACATAAGGGTACTAAAGCGACATCGAACTTACTAAAAGGGGAGATCAATTCAAGTTCTTACTACTATGAGAACCTATTACATCCTCTTTGTCACACCCATATACCAAGCTTAAGATCTAAACTATGCCCCGTTAGATTAATTTCAGCAAAATTAATCATCAACTCAACAGACAATGATATGCTTTCTGAGGGATATATTGCTAGCTAGAAAATTAAGGTCCTCCAATTAAATTCATCTTTTAATGTAAGTTTCCAAGCAAGCTAAGTATACAGACTCATATCACCAACAGCTGCAAAAATATTTAAACAGACAATGATATGTTTATGTTAATTTCAGCACTGCTGAATGCTAAGGTAGAATGAACTCCATGAGATGGGGGCGGAGTGAAAAATGGTACACTCTTTTCTTTCTCGGGGTGGAAATCCCACTCCAACAGTCTGTCAATGGTCATAAAGGAATCATATTAAGAAAAAGCAACATAGGATCGTACTAGAAGTCTAGACAAATGAATTAGCAGATAGATCTCTGAGAATACCTTCAACTCATTGTATGCAGAATAGTATTGAGGTTAACCTACCCCTTGGTCTCCCTACAGCTTCTTGCCCTGTATCTATCAAGGTCAATAAATTAGCAGATTCAGAATATGGCTGCACAGAGCATGTAGAAACAGCAAATGACAATCTCATAAATGAACAGATTCAGAATAAAAGTCAATCATGGGATATAGAGTGGGCACCTTTTTAAACACCATTCTAACCATTTCCTGTAGGATATCAGACTCAATAATATTCTGAAATACACTATTGCCACAGTTTTTGCTAAGAGTCTCCAACACCTACTTGAAATTGATAACCAAATATTTTGGCCAAGTGATAGCCGACTCTTGTAGCCATTTAGAAGAAAGAAAAGAAGAGAGCAACTGGATCCAGAACTATGCACATATAAGAAAGCAGAGCATGATACTGACATAGAGGGTCAGAAGCTGTATTTTTGGATCTTTATTCCCCAGGCAGCTTCTTAAGGATCTTCATCACCTCCTTTGCCTTCCTACAGAAGTTAAACCAATTCAACGACTAAAACCAATATCTTTGACGCAGAAATAACATGTAAGGAACCAGCAAAAATACAGTTGCACAATACAATAACTTCATTCCTAAGATCCATGACATCTCGGAAGTTGGAACACCCCCAGTATTTTTTCTTCTCTTATGGAAAGTACAAGTAAAACTACACTATCTTACCAAAAAAAAAAAAAGTAAAACTACACTAATAAAATATTTTTGAAGAACGAAGCTGCTATATGTTTGAACAACGCATAAGGACGACGCTATTGAGGATGCTAATATGTACAGATCAATGTTCTCTCCAACGTGTTTGATTGCGTATCAAACTTCATAAGTCAAAAAATTGGGACAGCAAATAGCAGCATATTCCTCCAGCTTGTTAGCCATATGATTTATGTCATAATTTATCTCCCTCTTTCTTGTGAACACTCCAAGATAAGAGTTTAGAGAACATAATTGATATAAATTCATGTATACAAATATATAGTTTTGATATAGAACCATCTCGGTAATTGTGAATTTTCGAGTATGAGTATGAATTTTTAATCTTCATTTGGAAGTACAATCATACTCCCTACAATCGACAAACAATATTCAAATTCAGCAAGTTACATAACATGTTTCCGCATGGCATTCGTGTCTTTATATTATAGCGATACATGACATCAACAAAATGCATAGCATGTTTGGGATTAGGCTTATTTGTTTTCAGTAGCCTTCAACTTATTACCCAACTTTTGTATCTCGACATCCCACCTCACACTTTTTTTTTTTCCATTTTTCTAGGTAAGAATTAGCATCATCTTATAACTGAGTCCATCACACAATGCTTTTTGTTGCTCTCTACTAAGAAATGGAAGGTTAATTGAATCTCCCAAAGGATTTACATTTCTAGATAAATTCACGATTCATAAGCTCTGTAAAGTTGGACTCCTTGGAGTTTCTGGAAGGAAAAATTAAATAGTCCATCAAAGAGGCCGATGGACCATGTTGTTACAAACAGCAACGGACCTGCAATACTTAGTTCAAAAATCGAATCTGTCAAGATGTCATGTACTCAGCATTTAGAAAGAAAAAACAGTTTCTCAATTACAGGGATTATCGCAGTACATTTCCAGATTCCTAAGAAAGGTTTGTCAGAAGTTGAATCGGTTTGACAATTCAGACAGAAGCACATCAAAGGAACTTCAGACAAGTGGAATACCCACCTTGGGACTCATATAGTTCAATGTTAATTACCCCCATTCAGGGGCCAATCGACAGATCACTCGTCGTCCTCTCGGCACAATCAATCTACTGTATCCATAGCCTCTACCTCTTTACTTCAAGGTTATCTTGCGAGTATTCCTGACGAGATCGACCCATCCAAGATGTCAATTAATATAAAATTCAAATTCCATGAAATTCAAGCAACCTCACTCCCCCAGCTAAAGTAAAAAAAAAACGCACCTAAAAATCCGGACAGAAAGCCCAGGATTCCTCCAACATATGCAAAAATTATCCACTGATCAGCTGGGTGATCACCTTTTTAATTTGCCTCTTACGAAAATACCTTCAAATTCAAAGATAAAGATAAAGATACCCGCTCCTAATATTGATCAAGGAGGTGCCAAAAGATCACATTTTTTTTTTCCTAAAAGAGGAGAAATTAAATTTTGGCCACTTCAGTTATGGAAATTTTTGGAGCCACCGCCAGTTCTGCCCAGCCTACTACCACCGAAGGAAGGATCCCCATCCGCGAAAAAAAACCCCGAGTCAAAGGGCTTCGATCTTCAAAGGAAATGTCAAAGGGGAGGGAAGTTGCTCTCCCAAGAAACAGCTGAGCGAGCTTTTATCAAGGACAGTTGCAGACGCTACTGAATCTGGTGCAGCCACCAGTGCACGAAAGCAGCTAACTCCTAAACCCAACTGCAGCAGCAGCAGATAACTCCACCACAACCTGGCCTTGTTCGCATCGGGGCTGGAGGGCGAGAGAGAGAGAGAGAGAGAGAGAGAGAGAGAGAGAGAGAGAGAGAGAGAGGGCGAGAGAGAGAGAGAGAGAGAGAGAGAGAGAGAGAGAGAGAGAGAGAGAGAGGGGCCACGGTGGTGGTGGAGTGCGACGGTGGGTATGGCGGCTATAGAAGCGCCGCGAGGCATCATCGACCATGTCACGGTAGCGGTGGCTGCCGGGGGGCTCAATCGCATCAGAGAGCTCAATCGCATCGGAGGAGGAGATGCCAAAGCTTTTGCCAAGAGAGAAAGGGAAGCCCAAATCATCACGGACATAATTATTATTATCATTAAAAAAAAATTTAAGGGATGAGAAATTTGTCAAAATTTAATTATAAAAAAAAAAGGGGACGAGAGACGGTGATCTTAAATCCAAATTGTGGGAGGGACGGGTTTATTTATTGAATTGGCACTTGCAGTTGCAGTTGCAGCAGTTGGAAGATACAAACGAGAGGTGAGGTTAGAGAGAGAGAGAGAGATGGTTATTTGCTGCTGCTTTCGTTTTGTTTCCCCTTCGTCTTTATTTTAACACCCCATCCCGCCACCCCCACATTACAGGAATCCAACACCAGAAAATTACATCACTATGGAAAGACAAACGAAGCCGCCTTTTTTTTTTACTATTATAAAAAAAACAATATTAAACTTATCAGCCTCAACTCACTCACTCAGTCACTCGGCCCCCTACCCCACGAGGTAGGAATCCAATCTTGGCCTTGTCCCGGGTCTCATCTTTCGCTTTACTTGCTGCCTCTTCGAATGTCAGTTCTTCTACGAGTCTCCTGTCATCCAACTGCAAAGTGACCCGGGCGGTGGGGTCCCACTCAAACTTGGCCCACCAGCGTTTGTCCCCCTCGACCACGAAGCTTCCCCTCGCGCTGCTCGAGTCCAACGGCGACTTTCTGAGACCAGGGCACTCGTATATGTGGAAGCTTACCCCCCGGGGAAAGGATAGAGTCTGGTCGCAAATGCTCGTTAGCTTGGGAAGATAGAAGAGTCGTAGGGATTCGAGACGTGAGAATAGTCCCGAAGGAGCTAATTCCTCCCTTGCAAATCCATCCCCAGTGATTTTCTCCATCGAATCGCAGGCTCCGACCGTCAGTTCCCGGAGCTTCGGAGCATGCACGAGCCAGGACAAGTCCGAAAGCCCGCAGCTGTTGACCGAAACATCAACGAGATTGGGGAAGCAAAAGTAGTTTGGCGCTCATCCTATTCCTTGAGTTATCTTCATCTCACTCGTCTCGGTACATTGAAATAAATAAAGCGTATCTAAATGCGAGAAACCGTCAGTGCTTGCTGGTGAGTAAGTTATTACGATGCTAGTAAAGTTACCATTCGTATTATCAATGCGTGCTCTCCTTATGCGTCTTCGTAAATTTGGGGATTGAAATATTTTCTGAGCAGAGGAAGACTCGCGCACAAAGATAGATAAGTCGGTGAGATGTTGCATGCACTCTAGTTCCTCTATCATCTCTTCTTCCTTCACTAAAAAACATACCTGAAAAAGTTCTTTGGACTTCCACAGGCTGAACACATTCAACGGTAAGCTTGTGATTTCCCCTATCGGAATAAGGACGTTTCTTTCCAACATATAGTCCAGTAGCAACCACCGTAAACGAGTCAAGTTCTTGATTTGCCTGGGCAACTTACGAATACGAGTGGTCGACAAGTTCAAGTATTGTAGATTAATCAAATTGCAAATCCCTTTGGGGAATGACTCAATATGTTCATTGTGGGATAGGTCCAAGACTGTCAGACGAGCTGTCATCGAGTTGAAAAAGCCTCTTGGCATGATCGTCACTTCAGTATCCCTAATAAGCAAAGTTTCAAGCTGGGAACACCTAGATGGTATTCGGTTGATATTTTGAATCCATTTTCCCCATATACATACTTTCTTTGCTTCCCCCCATTTGGAGATCATCTCCTTGGATATGTCTTCTGCGTTCTCTATCACTAGCAGTTTGTTCTCATTTTGCCCGCGGTCACGAGTAATCCAAGTCGCCATGTCACGAATGACGTCGTGCATCTTTACATACTCTCCATTTGAATCAAGCCCACTCTCCAATAGGCAAGCCCTATTTAACCTCCCCAAGACATGCTCTCCCTCATTCTGCAAACTGTATACATCACCGGTGTTTCCTAGCAAGCCCTCTCCAATCCAGAGTCCAATAAGGTTGTGCGGTCTTATGTGGTAATCCTCAGGGAAGAGACAACAGTAAAGGAAGCAAAGCTGATGGGTACTGTCTTTTAATCTATCATAACTTAATTCTAGTATGTGGTACACTTCCTCCACCATACCTGTTAGCTTGTGTGGATTTTTCTGGAGCGTTGTCAGCGCATGCTTCCACTCATGGGGATTGGCTATGCCAGCCATGGCTCGCCCGACGGTAATAAGGGCTAGTGGCAACCCTTTGCACTCTTCCGCAATGTCCTTGGCAAGTTTTGGAATTTCTGGAAGAGAATCTACGGTTGATTTGCCAACGTTGTTCTCGAACAATGCCAGGGCTTCTTCGGGCGTCAAGCACTGTACTTCGAAGATTTCGTCGGCTCCCATTTGGTGGCATACTTGCTTCAAGTGAGTTGTGAATACTACTTTGGATCGGCTCTCGAGACCAGGACAAGGAACTCCGATTTTGAAAAGGTCCAGCCTCGCCCATACATCATCAATCAACAACATGAACTTCTTCTGGGTCAAAACTTCCAATAGATGATGGACCCTCTCATCCCGGGACCATGCTTCCCAGCTCTCATCTTTAATGTTCAGCCTTTTCCTTATGGCGTCTCGAATACTATCTTCGTTCACTGGTCGGGACACCACCACCCAAATAACGACCTCGAATCCATGATTTGCGTGCGAAAGCTTCTCGTTGATCATTTTCATGAGAGTGGTCTTTCCCACACCGCCTGTTCCGTACAACCCAATCACTCCTGCTTCTTTTTCGTCCACGAGCCATTTCCACACTTCATTAAGAGAACGATCAAGCCCCACAGTCTTGTCTATAGATATCTCGAACACTAGAGGAGGAGGTGGAGGAGGCAGCGGTGACGTGAAATCGCTGAATTCTCCTTTCTTACGTTGGAGCTCTCTCGCTTCGTTGAGCAATTGATCGGCTCTTTTTCCCAATTTATAGCTCGACCAGCAGTTTCGTGGAAGACAATGACTGACACATTTGATTTGATCACGCTCCCCAGTTGCTTGAAGAACTTGATCTACTCCACCTTCAAAGTCTTGCACCTTTCCTAACCAGTTCACCACTTGATTCGTGCGCCGCGCACCTCCTCCTCCTTCTTCATGTTCCATCCTTTCCTTCACATCGTCGCGCACGGCCTTCAGGCTGTCAGTTTCGGAAAGCAACGAGTCGACATTACCTTTCAGATTATAAATGGAGCACAGAGGTTTCTCGGCCAAGCCCCAGAAGCATTTGACGAGTTCTGAAAGAGGACTCGCGCACTCCATCGATTCTTTCGGAGGTGAGAGATCGAAAAATTGAGAGCCGGCGAATGGGTGGAGTTCGATTATAGAGAGAGCCGTCTTGTAAGAGGCCGTCACGGACTCAATCGTAGTGGCCAAAAGAAATAGCAGAAAAGATTACAATGATACAAGCCAAATGGCAGACAAAAGTAAAAGCAAGTGGAAAGTAACGAATAGTACAAAACACAACTTGCTGGGCTGAATTATTGCGCATGCGGACAAAGAACTTTTTAGAAAGGTGGAGGAAGGACCGGAGTGTTGCTTACAACTTATATCTATATAAATATATAATTGCAGACGCTTCCACAAAACTCTCTAAATTGTTACGGTGCGTATTCATGAGGTTTGAATATAACGTATCTATCATGCAAGATACCACTAATCCTTGCTTCCGAGGAATTTTAGGATAATGTTAATCGTACATTGTACTATTTTTAAATACATTGATTCTTTGTTGATTAGATAGACTATTCATAGTTTCATACAAAAAGATTTTTCCTAGTACTGTTATGTAATTTCCGTAATGGAGATTAATTTTAAGGAGAAAATAAATTTTTTCGATGAGCAATAATTTTGCAATGTTTTGAATTGGCAACTTTAATTAGTAAAATTAATACCTGTGTAATAGAAAATTGTAACTTTGAAATAATTTAGCATTACTTTTACTCTCTTTTTTTGCGAGTATTTTTACTTGATCCCCTCGTCAAGTTACATGCGAATTAGCTATAGTTGTAAGGTCAAGCAATAGGTAGGGGAAGCATTAATTAACTTTTGACAAATCAAAGACTGCACATTAAAATCCATATGCATCATGCGTTTAATTATCCAAACATGCAAGATGTAGGTCATAAGTAGTAAAACAAATAGAAACATATAGCAAAGAAAAGCATTGCATAGGCACTGTTAAGTTTTATTTTAAAAAAAAACAAATTAAGAGCAACATATCGAGTTCTAGCGGTTGCTTGTGAAATAATTAGCATAACTTAATGAAGTTTAGTCACTGTGACTGGTTCAAATGACTTAAAAGGACATTTTAATACCTAAAAGCGCAGTTGAAAAGTTGAACAAGAGCCGAGATATTGTCAACATGGTACGATAAAACTTAAGATGGACAGTTATTATATACTAATCATATACTAATACGAGATACGAAGAAGTTAAATCCATGGTGCTGAAACGTTAAATTTTCCATCACGCTTCCATTTTTTTTTTTAATCTATTCTACTCTCAAATTATTTGTAAGATGCGTGGCTTAATATAGCGTACGAAATGACATTTCATGATCTTGAGGTACGATCAATTCTAGTTCACATTTTACTTGATAGATGTTGTCTCACGTATCTATTTCCAAAATAATGGACCACTTTATCTTACGATAGAAAGATTTTTTCGTTTGTGCTTGGTTGATGGGATCAGTGGCCAACTGGACAAATATCTCAATTTTTGTGGTTATACTTGCAAAACTTTTTTATGGTCCTGGCTTGCATGTATTCAGTTACTAGGGATTTATATATTTTTCTCATATGGTAAAAATTATTGCAAAAAAGGAAGAAATAAAACAGAGTTTAAAGAGTTTACACTTCCGATTCCTACACTTCAAGAGATAAATTGTTTGTAAGACGCGTAACTTAGTATCGTGTACGAAATGACATTTTATGATCTTGAGGTACAATCAATTCTCGTTCACATTTTACTTGATAGATGCTGTCCAATGTATCTATT